AGCACCTAATGTTATGTCGGTGCCAGTAATTGTCAAGCAAGACTGGTCACAAGGAATAGTTCACACACACACACACACACACACACACACACAGAGCTACAGGACAAGGGTCTATATTTTATTTATATGCAGGCAGTGATGAACATTTGAGATACTGAAGACATTAATTAGACTTTATCCTTATTCCCCTTATTTCCTCCTGCCCATAGAAAGGTATGATGATTGGAGACCCACCTTTTTCTACCACCAATTGTACTTCTATTTGATGGGAATAATGAAGCCTTTCTTGCTTCCGGTTTGTTGTAAAGGAATCTATATTCATGGTCGTGTTTCATTTGCCTTGCTGTAATTGCGTCTTAGTGTAATTAATGGGTACTGAGCTATTTTGAGTTATCTATTCCCTACTATTTTTGTTTTCCTTTTTTTGTGCCAGTCCTGGCTCTTGAACTCAGGACCTACGCACTGTCCCTGAGCCTCTTTGTGTTTAAGGCTTGCGTTCTACCATGTGAGCCACAGCGCCACTTCTAGCTTATCAGAGTAGTTTATTGGAGATAAGAGTCTCATAGGCTTTTCTGGTCTGGACGGGCTTTGAACTGCAACCCTCAGATCTCACCCTCCTGAATAGCTGGGATTACAGGCGTGAATACTGGCACCTCATTTATTCCCTGTTCTTCTCACAGCACAATTCTACCCAGGTACTAAGCCCAGTGAAGGCGTTTTACATCTTTTCAATGTGAATGAAACCTATAGATGCATTTCTTTCTCTTTTTCTTTGTTGGTCATGGGTTTGAACTCTGGGCCTGGGTGCTGTCCCTCAGCTCTTCAGCTCAAGGCTAGCGCTCTACCACTTGAGCCACAGCACCACTTCCATCTTTTTGTCTGCTTATGTGGTGCTGAGGAATCGAACCCGGGGCCTCATGCATGCAAGGCAAGCGCTCTACCACTGAGCCACCTTCCCAGCCCCAGCATTAAAAAAATTTTTTTCCCCTGAGTTATTTTCTATCTAGAAGACTAAAATACCTTGGACGATATATTTGACTTCTATTTCTAAGGAAGAAAAAAAAAGGCTGTTTCAACCACTTCCAAGTGTAAGTCATTCCTAGAAATGAAGTTTATTCTTCTCACAAGGACACAAAACAGTATGTCAAGTTCTGAGAAATTGTGAATATAGTCTTGAAAATATGGGTCTAGGAAATCTCTGTAGACTAGCTAGACACTTTTGCTCTATTTAACTAGGACAATGACCTGAAAAGATAGTTAATCATCATTAGACTGATAGGAAAAAGAAAAAAACAAACAACACCACCAAGCTATTTAAAGAGGGATTTTGTTTAACAAACAAATGGTGAATGTGTTACAGTCATAGAAGGATTCTGAGACCAGGTAAGAACTCGTCCCGATTTTCTTCATTCTTCTGTGTAAGGTGTTTCAAAGAAATTACAATGAAAATGCATTTTGGGGGGTGCTGGGTGTATAGAACAAATTTTGTGCCTTCGGCCTCCAGCTTATATAGCCCTAAATGGGAAGAAAAAGTTGGGCTGGGAGGTAGGGGTTCAATTCCTAGGACCAAGAAAGAGAGAGAGGGAGAGAGAGAGAGAGAGAGAGAGAGAGGAAGGAAGGAAGGAAGGAAGGAGAACAGGAGGAGGAGGAGGAGGAGGAGGAGAAAAGAAGAAAGTCATGGAGTAGTCATTTAAGGATAAAATCTTAAATTCATTCCCTTTAACTTCTAGACAAGGAAGGCTTCAAAGTCAGGTAGAATGATTCTCTCATTCGTCAGCTGTGTCTAGTGCAATTATTTTTCACCAACTCTGTTTCTTTGAGTTGTATCCTAACTGGACCATGAAGAATGGGGCATTTGATGGCATGCACATGGAGAAATATAACGTATCTGAGTTACCTGAGCATCTCCATGTTTCCTGATTTATTTCACCTCCTGTGTGAGGAAAATGCAACAAAGAAATAAACTCAATCCCTTCCCGTGAGGGAAAAACCAAGAGATTTTCCCCCCCCTAGATCCTTTCTCCTCTCCAATTAATTAAGAAAAGAATGCCCAGATTGCTCAGCCCAGCGGAGGGCTCTGTTGTGAATTTTTTCTTCTCCAGTTCAAGGAAAATGACTTGTCTTTTATCAGATAGCTGAGGAGACTTATTCTTTTTGTTATCATCCAACTGAGATGTGGGTTGTAAGTAGGGGTTTAAGAAGTCAATCTTCTTTTCTTTTCTTCTCCTCATTTCTGAAAGTTGCACGTGTGTGACAGGTCATCTGGCTGACACTGCTTTCCTGACAGGTAAACTGAGGCTGGGAAGACTCTACTATGCCTTCTCCCCTCCCCATCCCAAACCAACAGGAAAGACCAGCCGCCATCTTGAAGAAAGAGTTGCTAGTCTGCATCTGAACCCCTTTGATTCTGTCTTACCCAATAGTGTCCCAAATATCCACCTCATTTCAAAACCACAGAGCATATATTCAGAGAAAAGATGACATTTATCCATCTCCAAATCCTGCTTTAGAAAAGACAGGGTAGAAAGGTCTAGGCCTATCCCCATAGAAGCATGGCGGCCTGCTTAGTGAGATGTTGTCATTTGTACTTTGGCATCAGTAGTTGCAGTTTAACACTTGATGGAAACGCTCCCACCTTTCCAGCTATTTTTATTGTTTGCAGAATATGTTCTCCCAGGATCTAGGAGAGAGGTGTTGTATCTTTGTCATCTCTGTCTTCAAAAAGGAGGGAAATACCGGGCCAAGTCCAGGCCTTAGCGAGATGTGGAAGCAGCTATGGAAGAAGAGCTGGTGGTGGGCGGAGGTGATTGGGAGCCATGCAGGAGATATGGTCACCAAGACAGGCGGGGATAGTTGGGATGGACTTGTGAGAGAAACTTCTAGAGCGTGGCCAGCTTCCTTCTTGAGAATGGCATTGTAGGTATTTGGTGGATGGATTGGGAGAGAAAACTAAAAACAAAACCAAACCAAAGCAAGCAGTGTGAAGAGGTCCCACTGGGAAGCGTGGATTTTGTTTTGCACGGGTGGAGTTGCTCTTTCCAGACCTCTCGGATGAGCTCAATGAACCCGCTGAAATCTGAACAAGGCCAGGATTCACCAGACAATTTCCTTTCATGCCTTCAGGAATATTTGCTTGGTCAAACCAACCAACCAAAAAAGCAAAACTCTGGAGGATGAGCCACTGGGTAAATCAGACACATCTGTAAATATTAAGATGAAGTTTCCTAACGCTTTCACCTGTAGCCATGGACAGATGTCATGGAATTTGTCAAAGGGTTGTTTGCAACCTAGAGCAAACCAAACTCTCAAATCTCCCAAGCTGGTTATTCACTCTACTCCTGAACACAGATTTCACCAATACTATTACAAATGAAACCCAGGTTCAATGGGATATATGTAGCTCATTTTTAGAAGTACCTATGTAAGGGATGTGTGTGTGTGTGTGTGTGTGTGTGTGTGTGTGTGCTGTTCTTAGGGCTTGAACCCAGGGCCTGGGCACTGTCCCTGAGCCTCTTTCTGCTCAAGGCTAGCGCTCTACCACTTGAGCCACAGCACCATTACCAGCTTTTTTCTGATAATTAATTGGAGAGAAAGAGTCTCAGGGGTTTTCCTGCCCAAGGCTGACTTTGAACTGTGATCCTCAGATCTCAGCCTCCTGAGTAGCGAATAGAAGGGGTTTGGGTGTCATACATACATTTACACACACACACACACACAAGAGTATAGCCTCTGATGTTTTCATTTATTTATGCACTATTCATTAACTAAGGTTAATGAGATAAACAATAATAATAAGAGAGGTAAAAATGAATAAGATTTCTCATCTCTCCACAGCCAGTCCAAAACACCTTTGTTGAATAATGGACCAATTAATACATACATGTTGATTCACTTATGGGAAATTTCCTGCTCATTAAGAATTACTTGTAACCCTCAAATCAAGAAGTCTAGTCATGCCTTGTCATTGGCGTGTTTACTAGAGTCACGAGAATAGGGGAAAAGGTCAGAGGTGCCGCAGGCTGGGCCGGGGTTGTACAAGGTCCCGATCGCTAATCAACCAATCACCTCGCAGGACACAGAGATCGCCCTGGGGGTTCTACTCATGGGATCTTCATTGCATTTCTTGAGTTTTTGCACTTACGCATTTTTCCCTCCTTGGCCTGGGGCTTGAACTCAGGGACTGGGCGCTGTCCTTGAGCTTCTTTTGCTCAAGGCTGGAACTCTACCATTTAAGCCACAGCACCACTTCTGGCTTTTTCTGTGTATGTGGTACTGAGGAATCGAACCCAGGGCCTCATGCATGCAAGGCGAGCGCTCTACCACTGAGCCACCTGCCCAGCCTCTCTTTCAGCTTTTTTTTTTTGGTGCTGTATGTTGCAGAGTTAGCAGCCAAATGCTGTCTGCCTCTCTAATGTGCATCAGTTGAATAACTTCTTCTTAATCCTATTATCAGGACAAAGAAACATGAGGAGACACTAAACAAAGTGTCTTTCCATAGAAATGTGCATACAAGAAGGGTAAGCATTTGTGACCAGATGTACACAAACCTCTGTCAATGTATTTGCCCCTAAAAATAGTATTCCAGCATTTGTTAATTTGGTGTTTCCAGTCATCTCACAGAAGAGAATAACCACAAATAGTGACCATTTTCCTACTCAGATCAAGTATCTGCTATACATAGGGCATTTTATGGCACTTTGTAAAATTATCAAAAAAGTAAATAAAGAAACCAAATATGTACACTTGCTTTCGTAACTGTTGTAATCTAGGCCTATACGAAGCATACATTCTTGACGTCTATAATTTATTATGATTACAGGTATAATTCTGTTTATTTAATTTACTTGTTTCCATTTATTGTGATCTATGGCTGTTCTTATTTCTAAATTGTGCAGTGTTCAAAGAATACTTTTTTTTTTCCCCTCCCTGGATAGGTGATCATTTAAACCAAGTAAGTGGTTGGAAGTAACTGAACACATTCACACACCCACAGTTCAACGATGGACCAAAATAAAAATAAAACAATGAAAATGAACTCTCCAGAGAAAAGAAAAACCATACGCATTGATCAATTCAAGGTAAAATGAATATTATTTTTAAAATAAATAAATGGGGACAGCTTATACATATACATAAAGAACTATATATATATATATTTATTTATTTAAGTAATTAAATTTATGTAAGGTAATATTTAATTAAAACATATTTATAAATAAATTTAAGTATATCTATTTAAATGAATGAATATATTTCAGGAAACACAGTTATTTATATTCACTTATTTAGGAAAAAAAAAATCAACCAGAACTAGATGCTGGTTGCTTACACCTGTCATCCCAGCTACTCAGGAGGTACTGAGATCTGAGGATCGAGGTTCAAGGCCAGCCCAGGCAGGAAAGTGCATGAGACTCTCATCTCCCATGAACCACCAGAAAACTGGAGGTGGAGCTGTGGCTCAAGTGGTAGAGCGCCAGCCTTGAGTTCAGAAAAAAAAAGGAAAAGTAAAGTAAAAAGCTCAGGGGCAGTATGTAGGCCTAAAACCCCCAAAACAGGAACTAAAAATAAAAAAAAATAACGAGGCCCAGACAAAGCCTTTAAACCCTAGAAAGCCTGGAAGGAATCAAGAAATCCATCACAGCAATTCTTCTTCATCAATATTTTAAGTGGTCCCCTCAGTTAACTTGTAGTTTGATCCAGCAGGATGAAAATCATAGAGCTTATTTTCCACTGGGGCAGAAAAAAAAAAATAAATAAAAGTTCTACAAAGAAACTTTGATCAAGGATCAAATGGAAATCTATTTGCATTCTGGTAAAATCTATTTGCATTCTGGTAAAATCGATTCTGATGAAATATTTGAATAGTGTTGTAAAGCATTGGTTCATGTGGCTGGTTGCGTTTCTTCTGTGTGCAGGTATTTATTGTGCGGTGTTGGTGGAGATTTCAGTGGCTGGTGTATTTCATTGAGATATTTACAGAAAAGCTAGAATGAGGTATAAGCAGTGAGCATGTGGATTCCACGTTACCTCCTACCTCCTCCAGGAAACAGAAGGACAAACAACCACAAGCAAGCAGCTAACATTTATTGAGCACGTACTGTAGGCTAGGTTCTTGGCCAGTCCTTGGTTGCTGTTCATGGTTTTAGTCCCTGCCAAAATTCTATCAGTCAGATAGGAGTATTTCCTTTGTTTGTTTGGATGTTGGGTCAGTTGTGGGGCTTGAAATCAGGGCCTGAGCATTTTTGCTTCAGGCTAGTGCTCTACCACTTTGAGCCACAGTGCCACTCCTGGTTTTCTGGTGGTTTGTTGGAGCTAAGAGTCTCATGCACTTTCCTGCCTGGGCTGGCTTTGAACCACGATCCTCAGATCTCAACCTCCTGAGTAGCTGGGATGACAGGCGTGAGCCACCAGACACTTTGTAACTGAAAGTCCAGCTGTGTTTTCCTAACTTCCTTTCTCCTGTTTCTAATCTCGTGTGTTATATTTAGACTGTCATATTGCATAGGTTGTAGTTTCCACTTGTTCGGTGATGTGTTTTCATTTGTCAATAATTTTCCTTAGCTAAATACACATAAGGAAGGAAACGTATTTATTTAAGGAAGTAAATGTCTTCATTTATTTAAGGTAAGATTTAACTTAAACATATTTATAAATAAATTTAAGTATCTATATTTAAAGGAATAAATATTTAAAGAAACACATTTATATTTACTTATTCGGGAAATGTAAGGAGACACACATAGATATATGTGTTTATTTAAGGAAACACATATACTTATTGAAGGAAATAAATTTAATTCAAGTATATTTATTTAAATAAATATACTTAAAGAAATAAGTCTGTTTATATTTATTTAAGGAAAAATAAGCATGTATGTATTGAACAAAATAAATTTAATTCAAATGCATTTATAAAGCAATTTAATTGAAATATATTTAAGTAAATACAATACAAAATATGTACTTATGTATAAAATATAAATTTATTTAAGCCAACAAATATATTTAAGGAAATGGATATATTTGTTTATATATCATTATCTATTTAAAGGACAGTAAAGGCAAGCGAGAATAAAAGCAAAAGCAAATAACAAAACAAGTGGAAAATACGGTCTATGCACAATGGTATATACGGTATATATGATATATATTATGTATGATCTAAATACACTGTAGATGGTCTATATGGATGATTTATAGATTATATATATTCCATTCAGACCACACTGAGTGAGGATCTATAAATATCCTACATGATCTATGCTATGAGCTATCATATCTATCATATATAATAGATGTAAAATACCACATGTGTGATATAGATCGTGTAGATTATGTATTATATATGTCATTTATACATATGATATAGGATTTCTTATACTTTGAACACCTGGTGACAACGCTGGCCCTGTCATTTTTTTTTTTTTGGTCCAGTCATGGGGCCTGAACTCTGGACCTGGGCGCTGTCCCTCAGCTCTTCAGCTCAAGGCTAGCTCTCTACCACTTGAGCCACAGCGCCACTTCCGGCTTTTTTCTTTTTGCTTATGTGGTGCTGAGGAATCGAACCCAGGGCCTCAGGCCTGCAAGGCGAGCGCTCTACCACTGAGCCACCTTCCCAGCCCGCCTGTCTCCTTTGTTGAGCTGTTCTAATTGGGCATCAGTTCAGGGCCTTGCTCTAATGGTTTTATTCCAGAAGGCCCTGGTAAATGGCATGCATTTTGCAGCTCAGCCTGGGCAGAGGCTACCGGCCCATGCACCTAGATTATAAGTGACCACAGACATCCTAGCCATGGCTTTCAGCGAAGAGCGCCGTTCACCTCCCAGGCCGAGGGAGCTGTGCCAGGCGGAGGTGGAAGTTTAGCCTGACCTGGGCTACCCTCAGCCTTTGCCTGCCCTCTGGAGGCCCCGGGGCCCCTAAATGATTGAAAAACATAGGGGTGCCCAGGCCCCTCCAGAAATGCTAGTAAGATGTGGGAATCTGGTGCTAGGGATGGGATCGGGGGCAGGGGTTCGGGCAGCCGGGCAGTTTCCCAGGGAGCTTGTGGCCATGAGAGCTCTGTGGTCATCCAAGGAGGAACTGAGATGAGCATCAAGCCACAGAATGGGGAAACCGAGGCAAAGCCGAGAGCTCAGTCAGGAAGGGGGATGCACAGGGCAACGGAAGAGAAGCTTCGCCTGGTCACCCTTAAACCTGCCTCCCGGAAAATCCCTCTTGAAAATCCCTCCCGTCCTGCTGACCTGTGTGGTCTCAGACTGGATGTCAGCAACTCAAAGTTAACCTTCCCTCCTCCTCCTTTCCTCCTCCTCCTCCTCCTCCCCCTCCCCCTCCCCCTCCCCCTCCCCCTCCCCCTCCTCTTCCTCCCCCTCTTCCTCCTGCTCCTTCTCCTCTTCCCTTCCTCCTCTTCCTCCTCCTTCTTGCCTTCTTCTTCCTCCTTCTCTTCCTCATCCTCCTTGATCTCCTCCTCCTCCTTCCTCTCCTTCTCCTTCTCCTCCTTCTCCTGCTCCTTTCTGCTTTTCCTTCTTTTTTCTATTTTTACATCTGAGATCAGGACTCAAACTCCGGATGCTTTCACTCACTGGCTAGTGCACTGCCCACTGAGTCATGCCTCCAACCCCTCATTTTCTTATAAACCACCCCTTCAACATCAGTTTTCAATCTACAGCTGTCCACCCTGCCCTAGAGACTTGTAAAGCAGACTCATTCTTGGTGTTCATCATGTCCACATCTTTTCTAGTATTGTTGTTAGTGGAGGTGGTGGGGCTTGAACTCAGGGCCTGGGCGCTGTCCAGGGCTCTTCTGCTCAAGGCTGGTGCTCTACCACTTGAGCCACAGCACTTCTGGTTTTCTGGTGGCTCATTGGAGATCAGAGTCTCAGGGACTTTCCTGCTCAGGCTGGCTTTGAACCGTGATCCTCAGATCTCAGCCTGCTGAGCAGCTAGGATAACAGACTTGAGCCACCAGCACCTGACCTCTGGCATATTTTTATCTTCATGCTCACCCCTGGAGCTCATTCTATATTTCACATAGTCTTGTTTGCTCAAGAACCTTTCACCCTAGTCTCTTTGATGTCCCTCAGGTACTTGTTTAGAGCTGGGCAGGTGGCTCAGTGGTAGAGCGCTCGCCTAGCACGCATGAAGCCCTGGGTTCAATTCCTCAGTACCACAGACACAGAGAAAGCCAGAAGTGGCGCTGTGGCTCAAGTCGTAGAGCGCTAGCCTTGAGCAAAAGAAGCTCAGGGACAGTGCCCAGGCCCAGAGTTCAAGTCCCACGACTGGCAAAAAAAAAAAAATTACTTTTTAAATTTATGATCTCCAAAAGACAGCTCAAATATTACTGCATCTATTTTAAAAAAACCCTCAAAGCTGTACTAACAAAACTATTTATATCACGTGTTAAAGTTATGGGTAATAGAGCATTCAGTGGCCTGCCATTGTTTGCCCATGATTCATTGCTCTGAGGAGAGCCTTTTGTTTCCGTGTCTTCCTTGGGTTTTGGTTTGGTTTTTTCCCTGTCTTTCGACCTCTCGGCTGGTCTTTGATTGGCTCTGTGGCTTTGTGATGCAGCTGCCCTATTTCAGTTGCACAATTCGTGCCGGTTGTACCCATCAAGTGAGATTCAAATACATTTACGGAATTACTCAAACCCTTCCGTGTGACCTGGAAGGGTCACCTGACCTTGATGTCCAAAACCCTGGTCACAATAAATAAATAACCTCGACACATTTAAAGGTGAAACGCGGCCTTTACTTCACGTTTGCATGCCAGTCACCAGCTTCTGCCAAAAGCATTTAAAAATCCATCACACGATTGGAAACGTGTGCACATTTTGAAATCACGTAATTAAAATATCTCCATGCTCACCCGGGCACCGGTGGCTCCCGCCTGTCATCCCAGCCACTCAGGAGGCTGAGATCTGAGGATCGAGGTTCAAAGCCAGCCCCTGGGCAGGAAAGTCCATGAGACTCTGATCTCCAATGAACCCACTACCAAAGGTCAGAGACTGTGAGCACCCAGGCCCTGAGTTCAAGCCCAGGACCGGCACAAAAACAAGTAAGCCAAAACAAACAAATAGATAAATTGTCTCTATTCTCATAATATCGACCTTCTAATATTTTTTATTGGACAGCGGCCTTTCTTTTTTCCTTCCTTCCTTTCTTTGTTTCTCTCTTCATATTTCTACCTTTTGTATGGGGTGTGTGTGTGTGTGTGTGTGTGTGTGTGTGTGTGTGTGTGTGTGTTGTGAGTCCTGGTACTTGAACTCAGGGCCTAGACACTATCCCTGAACTTTTGTGCTCAAGGCTAATGCTCTGTCAGTTGAACCAGGGCAACCAATTACAGCCTTTCCCCTCCCCAGCCTTTTTTGGTGGTTATTTGGTGTCTCGTGGACTTTCCTTCCTGGGCTGGCTTTGAACCTTCCATCTCTCAGCTCAGTCTCCAGAATGAGTGGCTGGGATTACAGTCAGGAGCCACCAGTGCCTGGCTCTATATTATTCTCTCCCTGGATTTAAGTTCTGGATTAGGGGCTCACGCTGGCGGCTTGTACCTCTAATTTTAGCTACTTAGGAGGCTGGATACTGAGAGTCACGGTTTGAAGCCAGGTGAGACCGAAAAAAGTCTGTGAGACTCTTGTTTCCGTTGGAAACAGCAAGATAGCAGAAGTGGAGGTGTGGCTCACGTGGTAGAGCACCAGCCTGGAGTGAAAGAGCTCAGGGATCAGCGCCCAGGCCCTGAGTTCAAGCCCCAGGACCGACAGAAAAAAAACAAAACCAAACCAGCCAAGGGGTGGGTAATAATCTTCCAAGAATTCCGAGAAGAGTTCTTTTGTCTTTGACTTAGAGCAGTCACGGGGTGAGCCGCTTTCTCTTTATCCTAGTGTTGGAGAGTCACAAAGTTTTATGTCCATGTCTCTCCTCAAATGTGGGGCTGCTATCGCTTCTGGTAAATTCTGGGCCCGGTCCTGTTTTTCCTTTCCTCTGCTCCTCAGATCATGTGCATTTGGGCTCTGACTCCTTTCCCTTCTTCACGCTTTTTTGGGGTATTTTTTTTCCTCCTTTTTCTCCAGTCTTGAGACTTGAACTCAGGGCCTGGGCGCTGTCCCTGAGCTTCTTTTGCTCAAGGCTGGCGCTCTACCACTTGAGCCACAGCACCACTTTCCGGCTTTTCCTGTAGATGTGGTGCTGAGGACTCGAACCCAGGGCTTCGTGCATGCCAGGCGAGCGCTCTACCACGGAGCCACCTGCCCAGCCTGGACCTGTGTGTTTTCTTCTGTCCTTTGAACCAGTTCCTGGGGATTCAAACCTGTTCCCTCCAACACTTCCCTGTTCTCTGTTGTGTTATTTCGGTTGTATGTTTTACATCATTTGGGGGTTGAAGCACTTGGCAGAATCAGCGGACTTTGCAATCAAATTTCCCACAGGAAGAACTTCCTCTGCTCAGTGTCCTTGGAGATTCTGGAGCCTTCTCTAGCCTTCTTTTTGTTTTACTCTGCGCATACACGTGTCTGTCTGTTGCCTGTTTTCTCTGCCTTGGAATCCGGGCCTGACGAGGGCCTGATACGCCCCCTGGTGTCATTCTTCAGTACTGCAGATGGGTGCCTACGTATTTATTTATTAGTATTTATGTGTATGCATTTAGAGGTTTGTTTGTTTCTCTGTTTGGGGGCAGGGCCTGGGGCTTCCATCCAGGGCCTGGGTGTGGTCCCCAAGCCTTATTTTTTTAATTTTTTTCATTGTTATGATAAAGGGGACATACAGAGATACAGAGACGGTTATTCCTGTTTCATAAGGCAGCATAAGAATCCATCTCTTTTTGGACCATTCCCCCCCACACCCCTTCCTTCACTCTCTCCTGGTCTCTCCCGCCCTTCCCCACCCACAAGTCGTAGATTTCATTCTCCACCTCGTGTCCAGTGAGGATCACGGCTGCATTTGGGTCCCTGAGCTTCTGTGCTCGGGGCTGGCGCTCTACCACCTGAGCCACAGCTCCACTTCCAGGCTTTTGGGTCATTCATTGGGGCTAAGAATATCACGCCATCATTCCTACCTGGGTCGGCTCTTAACCACGATCCCCACTCAGATCTCAGCCTCCTGAGAAGCTAGGATTACAGGCGTGAGCTACCAGGGCTAAACAAGGCCAAATTTCACATAACAGAGAGACAGAGACAGAAACACAGACACAGACACAGAGACAGACAGAGAGAGGGGCAAACTCATTCTTTTTTCTTATTATCAAGGCTCCTTTTGGGGGGTATGGTTTTTATAACCTCTTCCCAAATCCCCAGGGCAGGATGTAGGACCGTTGGGGTTCCCACATATGAATTGGGGGGGGGCGGGATATGAGAGTGTGAGTCTCACCATCGCGTCAGATTTTAATAACAGGGCGGGGAGACCTGCCGTCCGCGGGGAATGGAGAAGTGGCAAAGAATGACTTTATCCCAGTTCCGTGAAGATGAAGCCCGGTCACCTGTCCCCTGGGGCCCGGGCTCTGCGTCTGGCGGGCCACCCTGGGGTTCTCTTCCAGCTAGATTTCAAGGAAAGGCTTCTTTGAGGATGTCCAGTCCTTCCCTTCATCTGGCCTTTGTCATGGGGAGGCCACCATGACGGTCCGTCGAGATGCCTTTCCAGCGTGCTCTAAGTCAGTGGCTGATCTGCAGAGTAACACGGCCCACTGAATAATGGGGTTCCAAGATGATGCTTTCGGTCCCTCCCTCCTGTTCCCTTTAGACAGAAAGGGCCAGAGACAGACAGGAGGCCCGTTTCCTCTCCTACACACAAGCTAGATTTACCCTGCCAACTGGTAAATACAGACTCAGGGTGGCGTGCACGTGCGTGCAAATGTATTACGTGAAATTCGATCGTGTCCTTCCGTAGACAGAGTCAAAGGTCAGCAACATCAATCCCCAGGAAGTGGAGGCTGGACAGGGGTGAGGTGCCGTGGGGAGAGGGGTGGACGGATGGAGAGGAGAAGAAAGGGGGAGAAGGCAGCCAAGAATCCAGGGTGGGTCCCCCACCATGCAGAAGAGGAAGGGGTGGAGGAGAAGATGGAAAGGGAAGACACAGATCAAGAGGCGCTGTATTTATCAACTGCTTCGCCCGATGGCAGCTCCTCTGGACAACTACTTAAAGACAATAATAAACACACACACACACACACACACACACACACACACACACACAAGAGCGAGCAAAAGAAACAATCAATGCTTTCCCCCGTCAATCATGAGGCTGTTCAGAGAGTCACGAGAGTCCTTCCCTTACCCGGCTCTTTTTCTTTTTGTTCTCCTTAGGTTTTCTTGGCCGCCTTGACCTTCTCCTACGTTTGCAAGGCCCTGGGTGGGGTTCTTATGAAGACCACCCTCACGCAGATAGAGAAGCGATTTGAAATCTCCTCCTCCACCTCGGGGTTCATCGACGGAGGATTCGAATGGGGTAATTGTATTTCTGTTGTAGTTCTCTTGCTTCTTAGCCTGCCCCAGGGGGGGAATTTGTGGTCATGATGATCGCTTGGGGGTGTCATGGAGAGACCAAGGGGTTCTGATAAGGGCTCCATAATCCTCAAGTCAGCCCCCAACAGCAATGTTGAAAGATTCAGAACCCGGGGCTGGGCAGGGGGCTCCGTGGTAGAGTGCTGGCCTAGCATGCATGAAGCCCTGGGTTCCATTCCTCAGTACCACGTACACAGAAAAAGTCAGAAGTGGAGCTGTGGCTCAAGGGGTAGAGCGTTAGCCTTGAGCAAAAGAAGCTCAGGGACAATGCCCAGGCCCTGAGTTCGAGATTCAGGACTGACAACAAAAAGGAGATTCAGATCTTGACCCAAACCTTCAAACTGGTACCCGTGAGATTTTTCATCTTCCTTCCTTGATCAAGGAAACGCAAAGTGGCAAGAAATACTGAGAATAAAACAAAACAAAACAAAAATCAGGCATCTTGTGGTTCTGAAGAGCAAAGGACCAACTTTGGAGCAATCTAAGTGAGATTCCAGAGACTCTCTGGAGATTAAGTAATCCTTCCTTTTCTTCCTTCCTTTCTTCCTCCTTCCTCCTTCCCTCCCTCCTTCCTTCCATCCTTCCATTTTTCTTTCCTTCCTTCCTTCCTTCCTTCCCTTTGAACACAACCTTGAAGGTACTGATTTGTCATCTCTGTTTAAACTTTAGGATCTTCTATATTAATGAAGCTCAATATTCATTAAGATTAATTAGTTAAATTATTAAGATTGATTAAAATGAATGATTAGACTTTCTATTTTGTGAATTATAGCTCTTTTCTCCTTGTGTTTGCTTTTTCCAATTATTTAGAGGGACCCCCAAAATTATGTCTGCCATATAGATTATAAATATTTCCTACAAGTTTGCTTATTTTTTTGCCTGTCCTGAAACTCGAACTCAGGGCCTGGGAACTGTCCCTGAGCTCTTTCACTCAAGGCTGGCGCTCTACCACTTTGAGCCACAGCGCCACTTCTGGTTTTCTGGTGGTTCATTGGAGATCAGAGTCTTTCAGACTTTCCTGACCCAGCTGGCTTTGAACCGCCATTCTCAGATCTCAGCCTCCTGAGTAGCTGGGATGACAGGCAGGAGCCACGCTTGCTGTTCATTCTAAAGCTTTATTGAAAACAGGCTTACCTGTATATTTAAAAAGTAACTGTATAAAGGAAGATGTATCTTTTTTTTTTTATTCTGAATTTTGAAGGGTTCAAAGGATGCTACCTAATTCTTCACTCCTCTACCTCCAAGACTTCATAGCAATTTAATAGAAATGTAAAGTCAGAATGTTCTTAGCTTTACATTTAATTGATAATACATATATATATGCAGAGAGAGAGAGACAAAGAGAAATCAAAGAATGAATTCTCTAGAGTTTTGTCAAATTGAAGCTTTTTGACACTAGTTATTTGAACAGTACTGGCAAATATCTTTGCTTCCCTCTAAATTTCATGGCTTCTACTTTTGCCTTTGAGTTTTTGGAAATATAGCCTCAAAAAAAAAAAAACAAATTAAAAGTAAATATCAGATGTCCAAAATCATTATCCTCAGCTGTTGCTTGGTTATTTTTTATCCACACAACTGACTCAGGCCACGTGGAAACTCTCCCCCTTCAATTCTGGGAATCATGTACACTCAATATTCAACCGAATGCCCTCTCTCCCTTTCCTAATAGTATCTCTGACTTTCCTTTTAATTAAATTACTAGTATGTTTTTAAGGGCAGGTAAGACAGTTTCTTCTTTATTGTTCTGTTCTCTTATATTTCTGGCTCATCCGAGCCGATGTCTCTGAGACATTGGAAGAAACACAGAGATCACACATGCATGCATAAACACATTTCCTCCAGGTCAACAAGATTTTCCTTCTCTCCTTGTGTCTAAATCCCGTCCACCCCACCTTCTTCAGGAAAATGCGATTTCCCGAACATTACCAAATCAGTTCCAGTGTTCCCATTTTGCATGGGAAGGCCCCTGGGTGTAGGGTTAGGCCCAGGCCACCCAGCCCTTAGCTGCAGCTGTTTTACCTATGGTGGCTGGAGCGTCCCCTGTGGATCAGATTGCAGGCGTGGCAGGAAAAGCACCTGCCTCCTGCGCTCAGCCCTGGGGTCTTGGGTCAGGAGTCAGCTAGCATGTGCTGACCATGAGTCCTGTCCATGCCTGTGCTCTGTCTGTCTGTCTGCCTGTCTGTCTCTAGGAAACTTGCTTGTCATTGTCTTTGTAAGCTACTTTGGATCAAAGCTCCACCGGCCGAAGCTGATCGGAATCGGGTCCTTAGTGATGGGGGCGGGCAGCATTGTGATGGCCCTGCCCCACTTCCTCATGGGACGGTGAGTGCTGAATGCTGTGCCTGGGCGGGCCAATGGGAGGGGTGGGCGGGGCCAATGGGAGGGGTGGGCGGGGCCAATGGGAGGGGTGGGCGGGGCCAATGGGAGGGGTAGGCGGGGGCAATGGGAGGGGTGGGCGGGGGCAATAGAAGGGGTGGGCGGGGACAATAGAAGGGGTGGGAGGGGCCAACTGGAGGGGCGGGGCCTGGGGAAGGGTGTGGTCAATCGGAGGGGCGTGGCCAGGGAGCTACTGGGAGGATGTAATCAAGGGGCGTGGTCAGGAGGAAGGTGGGGCCAGTGGGAGGGGCGGGGCCAAGGGAAGGGATTGAGCTGGGTGATGGGCGGGGCTAGGGCGGGGCCAATGGAGAATGGGCCAATAGGAGGGGAGGGTGCACGGGAGGGGCGTGGTTAATAGGAGGGCGGGGCTTGGGTGGGCGGGGCCAAGGGAGGCGGCGCAGGTCATCAAGAATCCATGGCGAATCCTGCAGAAGGAGGAGCGCGGGCAGGGCTGAGGGGGAAACTGAGGCTGGTCCGCGGGGGGCGGGGCTTCCGGTCTCACCCCGGCCTCTTGCAGCTACAGGTACTCGGCCGACTCCACCAACAGCTCCCTAAGAGGACTGCTCCCGACCTGCTCGCCGAACCAGACGGGCCCGGGCCCCGAGCCGGCGGGCGCGGGTAAGACGGGGGCCGGGGGCGCGGGTAAGACCGGGCCGGGGCCGGGGGCGCGGGGGAGGCCGGGGGCGCGGGTAAGACCGGGCCGGGGGCGCGGGGGAGGCCGGGGGCGCGGGTAAGACCGGGCCGGGGGCGGGGGCGGCCGGGGGCGCGGGGGCGGCCGGGGGGGGGCGGCCGGGGGGGGGCGGCCGGGGCCGGGGGCGCGGGGGAGGCCGGGGGGGGCGGCCGGGGCCGGGGGCGGGGGGGAGGCCGGGGCCGGGGGCGCGGGGGAGGCCGGGGGGGGGCGGCCGGGGCCGGGGGCGCGGGGGCGGCCGGGGCCGGGGGCGCGGGGGAGGCCGGGGACGCGGGGGAGGCCGGGGGCGCGGGGGAGGCCGGGGGCGCGGGGGAGGCCGGGGGCGCGGGGGAGGCCGGGGGCGCGGGGGAGGCCGGGGCCGGGGGCGCGGGGGAGGCCGGGGCCGGGGGCGCGGGGGAGGCCGGGGGCGCGGGGGAGGCCGGGGCCGGGGGCGCGGGGGAGGCCGGGGGCGCGGGGGAGGCCGGGGGCGCGGGGGAGGCCGGGGCCGGGGGGCGCGGGGGAGGCCGGGGCCGGGGGGGGGGGCGGCCGGGGCCGGGGGCGCGGGGGAGGCCGGGGCCGGGGGCGCGGGGGAGGCCGGGGGGGGAGGCCGGGGCCGGGGGCGCGGGGGAGGCCGGGGGGGGAGGCCGGGGCCGGGGGCGCGGGGGAGGCCGGGCAGGCCGAGACCCTGCGACCTCGCAGGGCCAGGCCGGGGCTGAGGGTCGGGGCCTCCAGTGAGCGCTCGGGGAAGGCGCGGCGCCGCGAGTTCGAGCCCGGGGCGGCACCAATAAGTGAACGGATGCATGCAGCGCGGGGCCGCGCCAACCAGCAAGTGTGTGCATGTGTGCGTGTGCGTGCGTGTGTCCATGTGTGCGCGCGCCTATATGCGTGTGTGCGTGTGCGCGTGAGTATGTGCGTGTGTGCGTGTGTGCGCGCCTGTGTGCGTGTGTACGTGTGCGCGCGCCTGTGTGCGTGTGAACGTGTGCGCGCGCCTGTGCGTGAGTGCACCTGTGTGCGTGTGTGCGCGCCTGTACGTGTGCGCGCGCCTGTGTGCGTGTGTACGTGTGCGCGCGCCTGTGTGCATGTGCACGCGCCTGTGTGCGTGTGTACGTGTGCGCGCGCATGTGTGCGTGTGAGTAGCGCCTGTGTGCGTGTGCGTGCCTGTGCGTGTGAGCACCTGTGTGCATGAGTGTGAGTGCGCACCTGTGTGCATGCTGGAGTGTGAGTGCGCTCGCGTGTGGGTGTGCGTGTGAGTGCACGTGTGTGCGTGCGTGCGGACCTGTGTGCACGTGGGTGTGCACGTGAGTGCGTGTATGAGTATGCGTGCGTCAGTGTGTGTGAATGCAAGGGTGTGTATGTGTGCATGTGTGCTTTGCATGTGTTGTGTGTGTGCATATGTGCACGTGTGTGTACATGTGTGTTATTGTTACTATTAAGGTGTTATACAGAGGAGTATACCTTCCTTCCTCCTTCCCTCTCTTCCTTCCTCCCTTCCTTCCTTCCTCTTTTTTGCTTTCTTGCTTTCTTTTCTTTCTTTCTCTGTCTTTCTGTCTCTGTCTCTGAGTCTGTCTGTCTGTCTGTCTCTCTCTCTCTCTCCTCCCTCCTTTCCTTCCTTCCTTCTTTCACTTTGGGCCGTGGCTCCATTTCTCGTCGTACACGCTTATGTGTTTCTCTGTTTTCCGGCTCTCTGGTGTAGAAGCCAATTCTTGGTCGTGCGGTAGATGCTGATCCTTGGTCATGCGGTAGACGCTGATCCTTGGTCATGCGGTAGACGCTGATCCTTGGTCATGCAGTAGAGCCGCAGATGCCCGCTCGTTTCTGATAGAAATCCCAGGGGCTGATCTTGTTTTTAATTTAATGTTTTAAAGCATCACAAAACGCAGAGCTATGTCTTCCGTTGTTGTTCATACTATTATCGACAAAGCCTTCCTATGTACATGTGTTCTAGACTTTTCTACCTCCAGAGAATACCCTAAGGGTCTACATTCCCATGCTTCAAAACAGGGAAGTCTGCAAAGCAAGAGCTTGGCTGTGTCCGCTGCTTCCTAGACGTTAGAACAGTAGACATGCCTTGCAGCGGTGGTTTTCTTGGTTCAGTTGTGACTCTGGACAGGATCCAAGGAGCAGGTTTACGGTCTCGTCTCTGGCTTTTATGGGGATTTCATTGACCTGTCTGCGTTAGCCTCTTAGGACACGCGTGAACCTTAACAGGACACAGGAAAGGCCGGCCTGATCTTATTTAAACAACAACAACAACAACAATAACAATAACAACAACTCTGCTCTTTTCCTCCCAGGCTGTGACCAGGGCTCCGAGAGTTACTATTGGCTCTACGTCTTCTTGGGCAACATGCTGCGAGGCGTGGGAGAGACCCCCATCGTGCCCCTGGGGATTTCCTACATCGAGGACTTCTCGGAGGAGGGGAACTCTTCTATTTACTTAGGTGAGACTCCGACAACCTGACCTAGACCCACGTCCTCTCCCCGCGTCCCTCCTGCAAGAACAGCACCACCCATGGAAGGCTTTCACCCGGGAGAAATCACGTAGGGAAAGCGCCCTGGAGGCTTTTCCTCGTTTAAACTATATATGCATATATATAGTTATGCCAAGCGTATGGGCGCCTGCCTGTAGTCCCAGCTCCATGGGGAGAGATGCAGAGGAAGATTGTAGTCCAAGACCGCTCCCAGACGAGAAATCCCACATCATCATCTTCAGGGCTGGAACTGGTGGTGGCTCCTGCCTGTCATCCCAGCTACTCAGGAGGCTGAGATCTGAGGATCAGGGTTCAAAGCCAGCCTGGGGCAGGAAAGTCTGTGAGACTCTCATCTCCAGTGAACCAACAGAAAAACACCAGTAGGGGCGCTGTGGCTCCAGAGGTCTCGTGCCAGCCTTGAGTTGAAGAGCTCAGGGACAGCGCCCAGGCCCTGAGTTCAAGCCCCAGGACCAGCAAAAAAGTTATCAATAAATAAAGCAAAAAAAAAAGGGCTGGGGGTGTGGCTCAAGTGAGACACCACCCCTGTTTCAAGCACCAGGCTCTGAGTTCAAATCCCAGTGCTACAGAGCGAGGTCAGAGAGCTCTGTATTCTTGGCATTTGACTCATCGGGTCTTATCATGTTCCCAGGTATCCTGCATGCCGTAGCAATGGTCGGCCCCATCTTGGGGTTCATAATGGGGTCTGTGTTTTCCCAAATATACGTGGATGTCGGATTCGTGGACCTGAGTAAGTGACAACCCAGACAAGGAAATTTCTGGAAGGAAAAGCCGGGCAGTGGAGCCTGTGGTTCCAGTGGTAGAGCATTAGCCTTGAGTACAACAGCTCAGGGACAGTGCCTAGGCCCTGAGTTCAAGCCCCAGGATTTGCACCAAATAACAACAACAATAATAATAATAAAATTCAGCTATGCCATGCTTTGGCTAGCAATATGACACACACTTCAGATTGTTCCCCGGCTAGGAGATCAGCAAGGCCAGCGAGTTTGCTTTTCAGTGGGTGGTAAATTGGACAGGAAACTACACCAGCTGCCATTTGCTGTGTTGAATCTGCTGACCCCTCCCTCCAACCCGGGAAGAGGGTGGAAGGGGCGACGGGGACCGGGCACCCCGTTCTCATCCTCTGCCTCATCGAATTGAAGCCCCACTGGACCCCTGAAGAGCTTTTCTGAAAAACTAGATGGTAAAGCAAAGATTACCCCCCCCCAAATCGATCTCAAAGTCGATCAACTGTATTGTTCACGGCGCGGGCGTCACCCGGAGAGTGAAGTGATCGTTATCAATCTTGTTCCCAAAGGAGGTGTAAAGATCCATGCTGATAATGATCACTACAATGATAACGCTAATGCCAGTTATCATTATCAATGACACAGTCATTATTGATTCCAAACTTAGCAGTGTTGATCCCAAACTTACCATCCATGTGGTTATTATTATCACTACGGTTCCCGAACCTGCCTCGGTCAGTATCGTGAATTATTTATCAATATCATTATCATCTATGCTCAAAATTGTTCGCAAACTTACCAATATTGATCCCACACTTACCCCTCAATACTGTCATCATTATCACTATTGTTATCATTAGTAATATGGTGCCCAGCTTAGCATGGTCTATATTGATACTGATCGTAATCGATAACACAATCTTGGCCAATGCTGTTCCAAGACTTAGCATGATCAATACTGTTATGGTTTCCACTATTGTTCATGATATTGATCACAATAATGATCAATACTGAGCATGCTCCGTTTGAGGACAGTATTGATAACAATAGTGGAAACTTACCATTCAAATTAGTGCTGTTGTTATCATGATCAGTACGACCCCCACGTGCTCAGTGCTGTTCCCGAAGTTAGCGTGATTGATGTGGCTCAGTGTGCCCTGGTCGGTGGTGGTCAGGGCTGCTCCCCAAGTCCTCCCCCTCCGCCTTGCGGTAGCCTCATGGACGTGGCCCACGATCGATCTGTGATGGGTGGTGGGTGGTGGGTGATCGGTGGGTGATTTATTGGTGGTGGGTGGTGGGTGATGGGTGATTGATCGGTGCTGGGTGGTGGATGGTAGGTGATGGGTGATCGATCGGTGATGGGTGATGATGGTGGGTGATGCTGGTGGGGGGTGGGTGATCAGTGGGTGATTGATGGGTGGTGGGTGGTAGGTGATGGGTGATGGGTGATTGATTGGTGCTGGGTGATCGGTGGGTGATTGATAAGTGGTGGGAGGTGGGTGATCGGTGGGTGATTGATCAGAGCCGGGTGGTTGCTGAGTGATTGATCGGTGCCGGGTGGTCAGTGGGTGATTGATCGGTGCTGAGTGGTTGGTGGGTGATTGATCGGTGCTGGGTGGTGGGTGATGGGTGATTGATCGGTGCTGGGTGGTGGGTGATGGGTGATTGATGGGTGCTGGGTGATGGGTGCTGGGTGGTGGGTGATGGGTGATTGATCGGTGCTGGGTGGTGGGTGATGGGTGATGGGGGATTGATCGGTGCTGGGTGGTAGGTGATGGGTGATTGATCGGTGCTGGGTGGTGGGTGGTTGGTGGGTGATTGATCGGTGCTGGGTGATCAGTGGGTAATTGATCAGTGTCAGGTGGTCGGTGGGTGATTGATCGGTGATGGGTGATGGGTGATTGATCGGTGCTGGGTGGTGGGTGATGGGTGATTGATCGGTTCTGGGTGGTCGGTGGGTGATTGATGGGTGCTGGGTGGTCGGTGGTCATGCCGTGGGGCCGGGCTGACCGCCGCCCGCCGCCCGCAGGCTCCGTGCGCCTGAGCCCGCAGGATGCGCGCTGGGTGGGCGCCTGGTGGCTGTGCTTCCTGGTGTCCGGGCTGCTGTCCGCGCTGTCCGCGCTGCCCTACTTCTTCCTGCCCAAGGACCCGCGCGCCGCCTGCAGCGGCTCCGCCTGCGCGCAGGGCCTCAAGGCCGCCCAGGAGCCCGCGCTGCCCGCCCGACGCCCCAGCCAGACGCCGCCCGCGCTGCGAGGTGAGGACGGGGAGGACAGCTGGGAGGACAGACGGGGGGACAGCCGGGGGGACAGCCGGGGATGGGCAGCCGGGGATGGGCAGCCGGGGGTGGACAGAGGGGTGATCAGTGAGGGGCGGTCAGCGAGGGGGTGACCATATAGATACAACATAGTCATATGAAATCAGTCTTAATATATATGTATAAATATAATGTAATACATTAATATTGATAAGGTATACCATATATACATACATAGTATATGCAAATAGATGCTGTAATATAATATTCAATATATTACCTAGGATATGTAATTCTATCCTATATAATATATTTATATTTGTATGTATTACATAATGAATATTATGTATAAATAAATATAAATATATAATGTATGATATATATTATGCACAACATACAATAAATTAATTTTATATATTACATAGCATATTACATATTATATTATGTATCATATAATATATAATACTATAGAATAATATATAATAATATTGTGTATATTTTATATATTATAAATATATAATATATAAACAATATAATATATAATTAATATAGATTGTGTATAAATATAAATATGTTATACACATATATATGCATAATATATAATGTTATACAATGTGTCATGCAGTGTTATACAATGTATAATATATATTTATATTTGTACACATGTAGTGTGTAATATATTTATAGACAGGGTTATACCCATGTGTATGATATGTTCTCATACACGCATGATGGGTTCTACACATGTGTCATCTATGGCACGATGAAGGCGTGTTCGCGATCGCCCTGGCCTGGTCCTGGCGTCCCCCACCCCGCGCGTGGCTGATGGGCGATGGGGTTGGAGGTGGCTGATGGGCGATGGGGTTGGAGGTGGCTGATGGGCGATGGGGTTGGAGGTGGCTGATGGGCGATGGGGTTGGAGGTGGCTGATGGGCGGTGGGGTTGGAGGTGGCTGATGGGCGATGGGGTTGGAGGTGGCTGATGGGCGATGGGGTTGGAGGTGGCGGGCGGGCGATGGGGTTGGAGGTGGCTGATGGGCGATGGGGTTGGAGGTGGCGGGCGGTGGGGTTGGAGGTGGCTGATGGGCGATGGGGTTGGAGGTGGCTGATGGGCGGTGGGGTTGGAGGTGGCTGATGGGCGGTGGGGTTGGAGGTGGCTGATGGGCGATGGGGTTGGAGGTGGCTGATGGGCGATGGGGTTGGAGGTGGCTGATGGGCGATGGGGTTGGAGGTGGCTGATGGGCGGTGGGGTTGGAGGTGGCTGATGGGCGGTGGGGTTGGAGGTGGCTGATGGGCGATGGGGCTGGAGGTGGCGGGCGGGCGATGGGGTTGGAGGTGGCGGGCGGGCGATGGGGTTGGAGGTGGCGGGCGGGCGATGGGGTTGGAGGTGGCTGATGGGCGATGGGGTTGGAGGTGGCTGATGGGCGATGGGGTTGGAGGTGGCTGATGGGCGATGGGGTTGGAGGTGGCTGATGGGCGATGGGGTTGGAGGTGGCTGATGGGCGATGGGGTTGGAGGTGGCTGATGGGCGATGGGGTTGGAGGTGGCTGATGGGCGGTGCGGTTGGAGGTGGCGGGTGGTGGGGTTGGAGGTGGCTGATGGGCGATGGGGTTGGAGGTGGCTGATGGACGATGGGGTTGGGAGGTGGCTGATGGGCGATGGGGTTGGAGGTGGCTGATGGGCGATGGGGTTGGAGGTGGCGGGCGGTGGGATTGGAGGTGGCTGATGGGCGGTGGGGTTGGAGGTGGCTGATGGGCGGTGGGGTTGGAGGTGGCTGATGGGCGATGGGGTTGGATGGTGGCGGGCGGGGCCGGCGCGGGGCCCAGGCTGAGCTGCGTCTGTCCGTGCGTCCCGCAGGCTTCCTGCTGTCCATGAAGCGCCTGCTGTGCAACCGGCTGTACATGCTGTTCCTGGTCACCACGGTGTTAAAGGTGAGCGCCTTGATCGGTGCCTTCACCTACCTCTTCAAGTACATGGAGCAGCAGTACGGCCAGCCCCCCACGCATGCCAACTTCCTGCTGGGTAAGCCCGCCCCGCCCCCAGCCTTCTCCCCGGGGTGCAGCCTGGGGGTACATTGCCTAGGCCGCAGGCCTTGCTTGCCAGTGCTCCCTGATCTACAGCCAGCTCCTCAGGAGGCTGAGGTCTTGAGGATCCAGGTCCGAGGCCAGCCGCGGGCAGGAAAAGTCTGTAAGACTCTTATCTCAGCAAAAAGCCAGAAGCGGAGCTGTGGTTCAAGTGGTCGAGCGCCAGCCTTGAGCAAAAGCTCAGGGACAGCGCCCAGGCCCTGAGTTCAAATCCCACAACCAACTAAACAAAACCCTAGAACACTGAGTTTTCCTAAAGAAATGAGCCAGGCAACCATGGCTCAGGCCTGTCATCCCAGCTCCTCAGGAGGCTGAGATCTGAGGATCTTGAAGCCAGACCTATCCTTGAGCAAAAAAGCTGAGAGACAGTGCCCAGGCCCTGAGTTCAAGCCCCAGGACCAGTACGAGAGAGAGAGAGAGGAGACTCAATGTAAACACACCCTACTGCATTCCTAACTCACCACAAATATTGTTATTTTAGACAATGACAATCTCTTTTGCTGTCATGCCAGAGAGCTGTATGACTTCTATTATCATTGTCCCTAAAAGTCCCGTCGTGTGACAGCATTGCAAACACCCCCTAGATGCGAGTTTGAATGAAAAACTCAAGCGCTATGGAATAACAGTATAAGTAAAACAATCACGTGAAGAATAATTGGCCAACGAACTTCCTAATGCATCGGAGCAGAATTCTGTGTGAACTTGTGGTTGAAAACAGTGGAGAATGTCCAAGTCAAGATTTTGCTCCCAATAACCAAACCGGGGTGGGTTTTGTCTGTCTGTCTGTCCGTCTGAGAAATATTCTTCTTCATTAGCTCTTACTGAACAATGAAATGGAAAAGGGATCGATCATTTTAGTACGGTCTAAAGACTCGTTCATTCTCCTGTTTGGATGAAGAAAGGGAAAAGATATTGGTTCTCGTATGTGATTTCCCACTTGGATGAATAAAAGGATATTAATTCTAGTATTCAGTTTTCCTGAGGGATCTTGTTTGTTTGTTTGTTTTGTTGGTCCTAGGGCTTGAACTCAGGGCCTGGGCGCTGTCCCTGAGCTTTTGCTCAAGGCTAGCGCTCTACCACTTGGGCCACAGCGCCACTTCTGGCTTTTTCTGTGTATGTGGTGCTGAGGAATCGAATCCAGGGCTTCATGCATGCTAGGTGAGTGCTCTACCACTGAGCCACCTGCCCAGCCAAGAGAGAGAGACAGAGAGACAGACAGAGAGACAGAGAGAGGGGGAGGGAGGGGAGAGAGAGATCTTTAACTCTAGCATTTGATTTCAAAGCACTGCACACATTTGGAGTGAATTTTGGAGAACTAGAAGTCTTTTTATTTTGTTCTGGTCAGTCCTGGGGCTCAATTGAACTCAGGGCCTGGGCGCGTGTCCCTGAGCTTCTTTTTGCTCAAGGCTGGCACTCAACCACTTGAGCCACAGCGCCACTCCCCGTTTTCTGAGTGGTTCCTGGGAGATCAGAATCTCACGGACTTTCCTTCCCTGGGCTGGTTTCGAAACATGATCCTCAGATCTCAGCCTCCGGAGTAGCTGGGATGACAGGCCCAATTGTTGTCAATTTACAGAAGAAAGAACAAAACAAGCCCACATAGCAGATATATTTTATATATATATATAATATATATGTAATATATATAAATATAATACAAATAGGCATATGTATTTCTGATAGATAAATATTTCAGATAGATATAAATATCTCTGTCATCCTTTTACTACTGAACAAATCAACTCCTTATTTTATAAGTCTGTCTGTCTCTGTCTCTCTGTGTCTCTGTCTCTGTCTCTCTGTGTTTCTGTCTGTCTCTGTGTCTCTGTCTCTCTGTCTCTGTCTCTCTCTCACACACACATCCACACACATCCACACGTGTACACACACACACACACACACACACACAAGGCATACTGGCTTGGCTTGCCAGCGGCTGCATTTCCAGTCTGAGGTTGTCTGCACCCGCCCTTCTGGTGGTGGGGGGCTGATCTTTTCTGTGCCGACCCTCCTCTGCTGTGTTTGATTCTCAGGGGTCATCGCCCTGCCCACCATGGCTTCTGGGATGTTTCTCGGAGGTTACATCATTAGAAGGTTCAAGCTGAGCGTGCTGGGCATCGGGAAGCTGCTGTTTGGCACGACCCTCGTCTCCGTCCTCCTCCACATGGTTGTACTACGTCCTGCTCTGTGACAGCCCCGCGGTGGCCGGCCTCACGGTGCCCTACCACGGGTCTGTGTCACCCTGGGTCCCCAAAAAGATCTGTCTAGATTTACCTGACAGAGAGATTCTCAGCCGGGCGCCGGGAGGGGTGGCTCCCGCCTGCCGTCCCAGCTGCTCAGGAGGCTGAGATCTGAGGATGGTGGTTCAAAGCCAGCCTGGGGCAGGAAAAGTCTGTGAGACTCTCATCTCCAATAAAGCACTCCCAAAGTCCCGAGGGCCGCTGTGGCTCAGGCGGTAGAAGCGCCTGCTGTGAGCTGAAGAGCTCAGGATCAGCGCCCGGGCCTGAGTTCAGGTTCCAATGGCAGGACTGGCAGCAAAGATACTCTCCATGGCGACTGTGCTGCTCACGCAGGCTGCGAGCGGCGGCCAGGAGGGGCTCAGGGCAGAAACACTGTCCACCCAGGGAGGCTGGCTCAGGGCAGAAACACCTTCCACCCAGGGATGCTGCCCGCCCTCCCTCCCCTTCCCCGCCCCTCCCTCCCTCCCTCCCCTGCTTCCCTTCCTCCCTCCCTCCCTCCCCTCCCCTGCTTCCCTTCCTCCCCCTCCTCCTCTTCCTCCAACCTGCTCCTTCCTCTCGCCCTTGCTTTCCCCCTCTCCCCTCCCCTCCCCCATTCCCTCCCCTCCTCCTCCTCCTCTTCCTCCTCCCCTCCCCCTCCTCCTCCTCCCCTCCCCCCCCTCCTCCTCCTCCCCTCCCCCCCTCCTCCTCCTCCTCCTCTTCCTCCTCCTCCTCCCCTCCCCCCCCTCCTCCTCCCTCCCCTCCCCCCCTCCCCTCCCCATCCCTCTTCCCCCCCTCCCCTCCCCCTCACCCCCTCCCCCTCCCCTCCTCACCCCTCTTCCCCCGTCCCCCCTCCCCCCTCCCCCTCCCCCCTCTCACCCCACCTGTGTCCGCAGGGTCCTCTCGGCGCCCCCCGCCCCCCCCGGGGCTCCCCCGGTGCCGCGCGCACTGCAGCTGCTCGGAGCAGCTTTGGGAGCCGGTGTGCGGGGCGGATGGGGTCACCTACCTGACCCCCTGCCTGGCGGGCTGCCCGGCGCCTGCGGCCAACGGCTCAGGGAGCACCGGGAGCAACTGGAGCACGGGGAGCACTGTGAGCATCAGGAGCACCATGAGCACCAGGAGCATCAACAGCACCGGGAGCATCGACAGCACCGGGAGCACCGACAGCACCGGGAGCACCGACAGCACCGGGAGCACCGACAGCACCGGGAACATCGACAGCACTGTGAGCCCCATGAGCACCGGGAGCACCGACAGCACTGGGAGCATCGACAGCACTGGGAGCCCCATGAGCACCGGGAGCACTGTGAGCACCGAGAGTACCAGGAGCACTGGCCTGTGCACCCCCAGAACCCCGGGGTCCCCTGTGCACCCCCAGAACCCCGGGGTCCCCTGTGCACCCCCAGAACCCCGGGGTCCCCTGTGCACCCCCAGAACCCCGGGGTCCCCTGTGCACCCCACGCCCAGCCCTCCCCAGGCCCAGGGGCCCCCTGTCCTGGTCATCTCAGTTCTCATCTGAGGTGGCCGCAGGGAGGAGGAGGAGGGGGAGGAGGAGGAAAAGGAGCGGGAAAAGGAGCAGGAGGAGGAGGAAAGAGGAGAAGGAGAAGAGAGCTGCAGAGGAAGGAGGAGAAGGTGGAGGGGAGAAAGGAGGAGGGGGAGGAGGGAGGGGGAGGAAGGGGGGAGGAGGGGGGGAGGAGGGGGGAGGAGGGGGGCAGGGGGGAGGGGGGGCAGGGGGGAGGAGGGGGAGCAGGGGGGGGAGCAGGGGAGGAGGAGGGGGGAGGAGGGGGAGCAGGGGGGGAGCAGGGGAGGAGGAGGGGGAGGAGGGGGGCAGGGGGGGCAGGGGGGAGGAGGGGGAGCAGGGAGGGGGAGCAGGGGGGGAGCAGGGGGAGGAGGAGGGGGAGCAGGGGGAGCAGGGGGGGCAGGGGGGAGGAGGGGGGGCAGGGGGGGGAGGAGGGGGGCAGGGGGGAGGAGGGGGCAGGGGGGAGGAGGGGGCAGGGGGGAGGAGGGGGCAGGGGGGAGGAGGGGGCAGGGGGGAGGAGGGGGGCAGGGGGGGAGGGGGGGAGGAGGGGGCAGGGGGGAGGGCAGGGGGGAGGGGGGGCAGGGGGAGGAGGGGGCAGGGGGGCAGGGGGGAGGGGGGCAGGGGGGAGGGGGGTCGCTGGATCAGAGGGAGGGAAAGCGAGCAGAAGAGGAGCAAGTTCTGACGAGTAGGATTTTAGCGAGTGTGAAAATGGCCGGCGGGGGTTCGCTCTCTGACCTCAGGCCGGTGGGCTAGCGCGCTGTATTGAGCGCCCGCACACGCAGACAGCCGGGCCCCCCGCAGGCGGTGCGCGCGGCGCAAGGGCGGCGCGGTGTGCGGGTGTGCGGGGTGCGCGCGGGCCTCGGCTCACAGGGCGCGGTGTGCGGGTGTGTGCGGGCCTCGGCTCACAGGGCGCGGTGTGCGGTGCGCGGGCCTCGGCTCACGCGGCGCGGGGTGCGGGTGCGCGGGCCTCGGCTCACGCGGCGCGGGGGTGCGGGTGTGTGCGGGCCTCGGCTCACGCGGCGCGGGGTGCGGGTGTGCGCGGGCCTCGGCTCACGCGGCGCGGTGTGCGGTGCGCAGCCTCGGCTCACAGGGCGCGGTGTGCGGGTGCGCAGCCTCGGCTCACAGGGCGCGGTGTGCGGGTGTGTGCGGGCCTCGGCTCACAGGGCGCGGGGTGCGGGTGTGTGCGGGCCTCGGCTCACAGGGCGCGGTGTGCGGTGCGCGGCCTCGGCTCACAGGGCGCGGTGTGCGGGTGTGCGCGGGCCTCGGCTCACAGGGCGCGGTGTGCGGTGCGCGGGCCTCGGCTCACAGGGCGCGGTGTGCGGGTGTGTGCGGGCCTCGGCGCGGTGTGCGGTGCGCGGCCTCGGCTCGCGCGGCGCGGTGTGCGGTGCGCGGGCCTCGGCTCACAGGGCGCGGGGTGCGGGGTGTGTGCGGGCCTCGGCTCACAGGGCGCGGGGTGCGGGTGTGTGCGGGCCTCGGCTCACAGGGCGCGGGGGTGCGGGTGTGTGCGGGCCTCGGCTCACAGGGCGCGGTGTGCGGGTGTGTGCGGGCCTCGGCTCACAGGGCGCGGTGTGCGGGTGTGTGCGCGGCCTCGGCTCACAGGGCGCGGTGTGCGGGTGTGTGCGGGGCCTCGGCTCACAGGGCGCGGTGTGCGGGTGCGCAGCCTCGGCTCACAGGGCGCGGTGTGCGGGTGTGTGCGCGGCCTCGGCTCACAGGGCGCGGTGTGCGGTGCGCGGCCTCGGCTCACAGGGCGCGGTGTGCGGGTGTGTGCGGGCCTCGGCTCACGCGGCGCGGTGTGCGGGTGTGTGCGGGCCTCGGCTCACAGGGCGCGGTGTGCGGGTGTGCGCGGGCCTCGGCTCACAGGGCGCGGTGTGCGGGTGTGTGCGCGGCCTCGGCTCACAGGGCGCGGTGTGCGGGTGTGTGCGGGCCTCGGCTCACAGGGCGCGGTGTGCGGGTGTGTGCGCGGCCTCGGCTCACAGGGCGCGGTGTGCGGTGCGCGGCCTCGGCTCACAGGGCGCGGTGTGCGGGTGTGTGCGGGCCTCGGCTCACGCGGCGCGGTGTGCGGGTGTGTGCGGGCCTCGGCTCACAGGGCGCGGTGTGCGGGTGTGCGCGGGCCTCGGCTCACAGGGCGCGGTGTGCGGTGCGCGGCCTCGGCTCACAGGGCGCGGTGTGCGGGTGTGCGCGGGCCTCGGCTCACAGGGCGCGGTGTGCGGTGCGCGGCCTCGGCTCACAGGGCGCGGTGTGCGGGTGTGTGCGGGCCTCGGCTCACAGGGCGCGGTGTGCGGGGTGCGCGGCCTCGGCTCACAGGGCGCGGTGTGCGGGTGTGTGCGGGCCTCGGCTCACAGGGCGCGGTGTGCGGGTGCGCGGCCTCGGCTCACAGGGCGCGGTGTGTGGTGCGCGGCCTCGGCTCACGCGGCGCGGTGTGCGGGTGTGTGCGGGCCTCGGCTCACGCGGCGTCCCCGCAGGTGTTCCATAACTGCAGCTGCGTCGGGGCCCCGGCCTCCCCGGCCCGCCGGCGCTCGGCCCAGCTGGGCGAGTGCCCCCGGAGCGGCGCGTGCAAGGAGAGGTTTCGCGCCTACCTCGTTGTGCAGGCCCTGCAGTCCTTCTCCACGGCGCTGGGCACGCCCGCCCTCATGCTGCTGCTCATGAGGTGAGTGCGGGCGCGCGCGGACGCTTCCAGATGCCCTGCGCGCGGCCGGCGCGGACCCAAGGCTCACCCCGTCGCTGCGTTCAATGCGCGTCGTCTGGGGATCGTAGGATTCGGAGGAGCGCTAGAGTAACCAAGAATGGCTGTGCCTTTGATTCCTCCCGTGGTGAAAGCTAGATTGATCCTTCCTTCCTTCCTTCCTTCCTTCCTTCCTTCCTTCCTTCCTTCCTTCCTTCCTTCCTTCCCTCCTTCCTTCCTTCCTTTCTTTCTTCCTTCCTTCCTTCGTCCTTCCTTCCTTCCTTTCTTTCTTTCTCTCTTTCTTCCTGGCCACTGTCCCTGACCTTCTTTTTGCTCAAGGCTGGTGCTCTACCACTTGAGTCACAACTCCACTTCTGGCTTTTTTTTTTTAGTGGTTCATTGGAGATGAGAGTCTGGCTTCAAACCCCAGTCCTCAGATCTCAGCCTCCTGAGTAGCTGGGGTGACAGGGGTGAGCCCCCGGCTCCCGGCTGGTGTCTAGCTTTTGCCATAGACCCTTAAAACCCAGGTTAACTGGCAACTGCCTTGATTGTAAAAGTGTCTCTCTCTAGTTCTCCGTGGAGTCTCTGTGCTGAGTTGCTCTCCCTCCTGACCAGCATGATACAGCACCTGTTGGGTTCATGGAAAAGAAACATTTGAACACCCCAAATATAAATGTATGAACTTCAGTCAATAATGACATCCCCGAGCTTTGAATCCACACACAAAATAGGTCTTGACCTAGTTTCCCATAACATCCTTCCAGACAAAAGAAAAGCGTATGAAGAGAACTTAACTCCTTCATTTCTTAAGACAGATGTTTAGACCACTTACTGAGTTTGTTGAAGAATATTCCATGATCAATAACACAGATAAGATACCTTCTACAAGCATCTTACAATAATAGAGACCGACATAAGGAAAATCAACTTAAACACATTTAAAGTGTTCTCAGCACTATAAGGGAAAAGACCGTATTCAACGTAATAACAGGGAGCAAGAGAAAGATCCTAATTTAGGATTGAAATGAGAGGCAGGGAGGAGGAGGATTCATTTGGTAACTACTTCTCAAAAGAAGGGACGTTGAGAGGCCAGGAGTGTGGTGGCTTATACCTGTAATCCCAACCACATGGGAGGCAGAGAGGGGAATGTTGGTTATACTCCATCTCAACAAAAAGAGCTGCGAATGCTGAGGGGCTGGTGGCTCCCGCCTGTCATCCCAGCTTCTCAGGAGGCTGAGATCTGAGGCTCATCGTTCAAAGCCAGCCTGGACAGGAAAGTCCGTGAGACTCCTATCTCCAGTGAACCACCAGAAAACCAGAAGTGGAGCTGTGGCTCAAATGGTAGAGCGCCAGCCTGGAGCTGAAGAGCTGAGGGACAGTGCCCAAGACCTGAGTTCAAACCCCACCACTGACAAAAAAAAAACAGATCTGGGAGGGTCGTGCATGCCTGTTGCATCTTGTTTCATAAGAAGCATAGATAACAGGATCACGAATCCCAGGCTGGCCATGAAGGCTGATTTCATCCAACTGGAAGTGATGGGTGTACTCCACCGGAAGTGATTGATGGATCAAACCGGAAGCCACTGGCCCATCCAACTGAAAAACCAAGATGGCCGCCCCTCTGAAGTCTCATTTGAGGGAGACAAGAATGGGAATCAGGGGCAAAGAGGATGATCTCTTGGGCCAGATCTCCACAAGAGGAAACTTTAATGGAAAGTCTGGTGTGGAAAGTGGAAAGGGATTAGGCTCTCAATTTTTGTTGGCGTTGGTGGGGTTTGGGGTTGTGTTTTGTTGGTGTTGTTTTAGGGCAAAGCCAATGGAAGTTGCTGAGGGCTTGAATGAGGCATGGAAGACAGAATTCCAGGACGATGGCAGGTCTCTGCTTTGAATGCTGAGAGGTTTCTTGGAGCAAAATGGGCAAACATTGGAGCAGAGGAGTTGGAAGGGGGCAGAAGCTAGGACCATTTTAAAAAAAGAAAAAAGAACCCAACTCTATGAATCTCACGAGTCTCCTGTCTCCGGTCTGACATTTGGGAAAGGGGTTTTGGAATCAACAAATTGGTGATTGTCTTAAAAACAAAGTCAGGGCTGAGAGCTCAGATTTCAGTAAAAGTGGATGGTGGTGGTGGTGGTTGGTGGCTTGCTTTTTGTTTGTGTTTTTTTGCTTTTTCTGAGTGGCTATCGATTCTCTGGCTCACCTACATTTTCTTCTCCCACTGACTGATTTTGTTCCACTCACTACCTGCATTCGATGACCCTAGGAGTGGAGGATGCGAAAGAGAATTGTAGAATTGCAAAAGTGAGTGGATTTCTAATTGAGAAGAACAATGCAGTTCTCTACCTATAAGGTCACTTCTAAATACACATCCAAGGCCTGGGCAGGTGGCTCAGTGGTAGAGCGCTTGCCTTGCATGCCTGAGGCCCTGGGTTCGATTCCTCAGCACCACATAAGCAAAAAGAAAAAAGCCGGAAGTGGCGCTGTGGCTCAAGTGGTAGAGTGCTCGCCTTGAGCTGAAGAGCTGAGGGACAGCGCCCAGGCCCAGAGTTCAGGCCCCACAACTGGACCCAAAAAACAAAAAACTAAATAAATACACATCCAAGATGCTACAATAATGAGCTTTTCTTTTTTTTTATTCTTCATGGTTGTAGTATATAACACATAACATATCCTATCTTGGTGAATGAGAAATCAGGTCATTCCAGACCACACGAACCCGGTTATAATAAAAAAAAAAATCTCAACAACCATGTGTAAAGATGTCAAAACACAACGACAAAATAAGGGAACAATGCTTATTGTGGTTACTTGGTTGTTGATCTTTAAAAGAAAAAAAAAAACTAAAAAATGGTAACTGAAGGGTTTTTATTCATCCATCAAGAAGAATTGCATGGACAGATGTTTTAAGATTGAACTCAGACTTTCTAAAGATGCTAACGTTTCTTTGGTCTTCCTCTTATTTCAGACTTGTGGAACCTGACCTCAAATCATTGGCTATGGGTTTCCATGCACTGAGTATACGAACGCTAGGTATGAACAACTATAATCAATTCTGCGTGTACATATTCTTACCCAGGCTCAAACACCTGAATGTTGTGACTTTCCAATTATAAGACATTTACAAAGCGGTGTAAGTAAGAATCGTTTCTAGCTTGCTGTAAATGAAAAGAAGAAAAGTTAGAGAAAAAAGATGAAAGCCCAGTTGAAGATCAAAGGATTCTAGATATTTGTTTTACATGGTACAACCTAAAGACAAGAAATGTTCAGAGATTTTTTAAAATTTATTTTATTTTACTTAATTTATTTTATTATCATTAGTAGTTGTACAGAAGGGTTTCAATTGAACAAGTCAGTTTATGAGCCCAATGCATATTGATCATGTTACCTCTTCCATCGCTCACCCCTATTTCTCCCAGAGATTTTCTCCTTTACTTAGAAATATTATTAGCAGGCACAATGCTGAACTCAGGCTTTTCTTTCTTTCTTTTTTTTTTTTGTCAGTTGTGGGGCCTGAACTCTGGGTCTGGGCGCTGTCCCTCAGCTCTTTGGCTCAAGGCTAGCGCTCTACCACTTGAGCCACAGCGTCACTTCCGGCTTTTTTCTGCTTATGTGTTGCTGAGGAATCGAACCCAGGGCCTCATGCGTGCAAGGCAAGCGCTCTACCACTGAGCCACCTTCCCAGCCCCTAAACTCAGGCTTTTATAGGTCATGTCTAAAACAGTTGGAGAGTTCTGAGAATCTGGTCAAAATAAAATTGCTTCAAGACAGTTGCTGGTGGCTCCCACCTGTCATCCCGGCTGCTCAGGAGGCTGAGCTCTAAGGAGAGAGTTCAAAGCCAGCCTGGGGTAGGAAAGCCTGTGAGACACTTATCTCCAGTTAAATCACAGAAAAATCCAGAAGTGGTGCTGTGGCTCACGTGGTAGAGCGCATGCCTTGAACAGGAAGGAGGAGAGGAACTGCACCCAGGCCTGAGTTCAGGTCTGAAGACTGGAAAAACATTGTTCCAGACAACAGGAGGTAACACTTACTGTGTAGCTTCTGTCTGACCAGTGTTCTATGAACACACACTCACCTTCCAAAACGTAGAGATCCAAGAGGAGGACAGCGCTGGCAGAAAAGCAAATGAGGGGTTGACGTTGTCCAATAGAAATACACTCATCACCTGACTTCTGAAATGCAACCCCTCTGCACAACATCAGAATAACTACAATTATATAGAATATATACTATAGATCATAGATAACATAGTAATTACATAATTATATAACATAGCATGTAATGTGCAATATAATTTTCTATTATATGTGTTATGTATTATATATGATATATAATAGTTATATAATATAAGATAATATGTAATGTTATATAATTCATCTATGTTATCTATTATATATTATAATAATTATACAGCATATAATAGGTAATACATTACATAATATATAATATGTAATATATAATAAATTGCATAATTATATAATTATATATTATGTAATTATATATTAATATAATACACAATTATATATTATTAATATGTTATATATTGTACTATATATAACATAATGTATATCATATAATATATGATATTGTATTATATAATATATAACACATATTATATACTAATATATTATTGCTATATAATTATATATAATTAACATATATATTAATATATAATTATAATTATGTATTTATATATAATATAATACTATAATATAAACATGGTTATATATAATATATTTTTATAATTATAATCTATATTATGTAATTACATTATATAATATAATTATATACTAGATAATACATAATATAATGAATTCACTAAATAGTAATATATATATATACATATATTAACGATACAAAAGGGACCGGGCACACTGGTGGCTCATGCCTGTAATCCCAGCCACTGAAGAGGCTGAGCTCTGGAGGATGGCAGATGGAGGCCAGCCCAGGCAGAATGGTTTTACGTATTCCAAAATGGGCCAGTTCCACGGGCAGCCGTGCGTGTGCGTCTGGTCCTGACAGCTGTCTTCTTCTGCTTCAGGAGGCATCCTGGCCCCCATCTACTTTGGAAGCCTGATTGACAGGACCTGTGTGAAATGGTCCATCACTCCATGCGGGAAGAGAGGCGTTTGCAGGATGTACAACTCCACGTTATTCGGGTAAGTGGTCACCCGTGGGTCCCGCTAGGTGTCATCCGTTATTGAATTCCCCCCCCCCTTAGTTTTTAAAGATATTGTCTTCAATGCCATAAATGCACCAACAACAATGCCACCAATGCATGAACATGTCCTTTTCTGCCTGGGAATTCATGTGCTGCTATCATCAAAATAATTGAGCTGAGCGTCGGTGCTCCTGCCTGTCATCCCAGCTACTCACGAGGCTGAGATCTGAGGATCGTGGTTCAAAGCCAGCCGAGGCAGCAAAGTCTGGGAGACTCTCATCTCCAACGAACCACCAAAAACTGGAAGTGGAGCTGTGGCTCACATGGTAGAGCACCTGCCTTGAGCTGAAGAGTTCAGGGACAGCTCCCAGGCCCAGAGTTCAAGCCCCACAACCGACAAAACACACACACACACACACACACACACCAAATTACTAGTATTTTGATTGGGATTACCTTGAACCTCCAGGTGAATTTGGAAAGAATGGATATCATCTTCACACTGACTCTTCTTGTTAATGAATATGTAATACTCTATTTGTTCGATTGTTTTCATCTACTTGTGATAGTTTTTCTCTCTCGCCTGATATGTAATTCATTAGATTTACAGTGAGGTGTGTCGTGGAGCTTCTAGTATAAAGCGTAATACTGTTAAATTACAAACTCCACTGATTCCTTACTGACACATGGGCAATACTTGACGTTGGTGCGTTAACTGTGCACACCTGCTGCAATCTCGCTATCTTTCGCCGTCGTTTTAGGAGGTATTTGTCTGTTCTTGAGACTTTCACCATAATGATTGCGACAGCTGTAATCAAAGACATGTTTCTGGTTCTTTCTCAAACTATACGTGGTTTATATATTACTTTATTTTTATTTTTTGCTGATCATGGGGCTTGAACTCACGGCCTGGGCGCCGTCCCTGAGCTCTTCCACTTAAGGCTTTCTACTTGATAAGATTCATTAGTGAACTGATCGAGGCCTGGTGCTCTTTCTACGGTGTTCAATTAGTGTTGTTTGAATTGTGTTAAGTTTATTGGGGTCGTCTGGTGTTTCCTGGGTAAATCGCACACCTGTCTTGGAAGAAACTGCCTTCATCCAGGTTATTAATTCTGTGATTATGAAAATTGTGGGAATCGTGTTGCTCATACAATTCCTTTATTATCTTTACGCTTTCTCCTCTTGCTTACGTGGGAAAGAATATTCTTTTTTTTTTTTTTTTTTCTGGGTCCGGTCGTGGGGCCTGAACTCTGGGCCTGGGCGCTGTCCCTCAGCTCTTCAGCTCAAGGCTAGCACTCTACCACTTGAGCCACAGCGCCACTTCCGGCTTTTTTCTTTTTGCTTATGTGGTGCTGAGGAATCGAACCCAGGGCCTCGAGCATGCAAGGCAAGCGCTCTACCACTGAGCCACCTTCCCAGCCCCGGAAAGAATTTTCTAAGGGACACAGAAGGCGGTGTTTCACTGCTTTCAGAAAGAAAACTAGACTCCCAAATGGATGCTCACATGAGGATTTCATTCTTTTATAACCATTTCAATTGGGTTTTTGTTTCTTTTCGTCCCACTCAGTTTAAATAATCTTCTATGTTCTTTCTCCTTCCCCTTCTTTTTCTAGAATTACCTACTTAGGCTTAGAGTCTACCTTGAAAATCCTAGCAGTTGTTTTTTATGTTGTGTTGATTTGGGCCATGAAGAATAAATACAAAGACAAAGCTTCAAAGGACACGGGAAATGGAGAAAAAGCCACGGATGAAGCGAACGGAGAGTCTGCAAACAATAACGGACACTTAGTGAGTGAAACGTGTATATAAAGGAAGGAGAAAATGTGTTCACTGCTGTGTGTTTCCAAAAAAAAAAGAATAAAGAAAGCCCAGTGTATTGTTAGAGAAAGCTGTTGATACCTTCACGAAGAATTCCGCACGCTCCGTATAGGATGGAGGAATAGATAAGGGCCATGAATTTATGATGAGGTCACTCATCATAAGGAGCGGAGGTTCTCATTGTAACGCACAGAAAGTAACATAGAACATAATAATAATATAGTATTGAGAGTGAAATAAAAATAATATGCAACATCGAGAGCAAAATAGAAAATAATAGTAATTATTATTAAGATAGAATATTGAGAGTGAAATAAAAGTATAAGTATCGAAAGTAAAATAGAAAATAATAATAACAATAATAATAATAAGCACCTGTGGCTCCCGCCTGTCATCCCAGCGACTCGGGAGGCTGAGATCTGAGGATCGCGGTTCAAAGCCAGCCTGGGCAGGAAAGTCTGTGAGACTCTCATCTCCCATGAACCACCAGAAAACCAGACGTGGAGCTGTGGCTCAAGTGGTAGAGCAGCAGCCTTGAGTGAAAGAGCTCAGGGACGGCGCCCAGGCCCTGAGTTCAAGACCCAGAACTGGTAGAAAAAATAATAATATAGAATATTGAAAGCGAAATCAAAAATAATAATTAAATAGAATATTGAAATTGAAAGAGAAAATAATGGTTGCTCCAACCATTGTAACTCAATAAAATGTGTCTAGAACAAAGGATAGGGAAGAGGAAGGAGGAGGAGGAGGAGAAAAAGAAGAAAGGAGGACAAGGAGAAGAGGAGGAGTAGGGGAGGAGGAGAAAGAGGAGGAGGAGGAGGAAGAAGAGGAGAAGGAGAGGAGGAGAAGAAGGAAGAGAAGGAGGAGGAGGAGAGGAGGAGGGGGAGGAGGAGGAGAGGAGGAGGAGGAGGAGCAGGAGGAAGAAGGAGGAGGAGGAGGATGTGGTGGTGGCTGCAGCAGCTAAAATAAGCAGAACAATCCGAGTCTCTTTAAGGAAAAGCGAAGGAAAGCCGTTGGGCGGCGCGTGTGTCTGCTGCCCGTAATTGGCTGTAACGGCCACCTGTTATTGATGAACTCCCGCACATCACGTGACCTCGTCCATTTCAGGGTGGAAAATACGTTTGACTCCCAACCCCTCTTCTTCCAATGTCACCGAAGAATTAGAGAGATTCCAAAAACATGCGTCCATATTGGGTGCGGGCGATGGTCAGAGGAAAATGCGTGGCCCACGATGCGGCTGATCACAGCTGGAAGCTGGTGAAGAAAACCTGACTTCCATGATCCCCAAAGCCCATGGACTAGCTGGGCCTTCACTCTGCCCGCCGGGCCTCCCCGCTACTCAGGAGGCTGAGATCTGAGGATCGCGGCTCGAGGCCAGCCCAGGGCAGGAAAGTCCATGAGACTCTGATCTCCAAAGAACCACCAGAAAACCAGAAGTGGTGTTGTGGCTCAGGTGGTAGAGCACCAGCCTTGAGCTGAAAGAGCTCAGGCCCTGAGTT